AAAACCCTCAATGAATAGAAACAGGCACGTGGAAGACAAATACCAAGGATTCCAAACCAATATGAGACTTAGATAAACCTTAGCTACAAAGCTTATGAATGCAGACTAATCAAACCAAGCACATTCATACGCAATACTCATACCCTTGCAAAACTAGAAGAACGCTACGTGACAACCTATGCACTTAGAAGGACCGTCAATATAGGCATCCCCTGTGCTAGCAACAACTAGAGTGATAGGTGTGTGGACATTCATCAACATTTCAGATATAATGCATACAGTATGACTAGACATATAAACTAGAGAATCACATCAGAAATTTTTACCCAGAAACCCACCACTGGGAAAAACTGGGGGTCATCAATCCGACCAAGCAATCCACTAACAAGAAGAAATAGTTACAAAGATCAACAGATACAACTCAAGTTTCCTAGTTCTATAAAGGAGCAGCTATACCTCTCCAAGCTATCTTCTTCTTCTCAATAACTTTGCTTGCAGCTAGTATATCATGACAATGGCAGCTTCATCCTTCAGCTCAAACATCTCATGGCACCAACAATACAGCACTACTCAACCAAATGCAGTGATGATAATGTAGATTTAAGAAAGGATCAATTTTCTCAAGAAATCATTCTTGGAGAAAATCAATCTTAAAATATGAACTCTAGATCTAAATGATGTGTATGATTTAGAAATTCTAGATGAAAAACTGATTTTTCCTAAAATCTCATAAATGCAACATCACAGGCCTCACAATGAAAAAGATTATGCCTGCAAACTTTCCAAAAAGTGCCAACGAATGTTTTCTAAGAGGTGATGGCTGATTATCATAAATGCCTCCTTTATAGTAAGGAGAAAGAAAGGCTGCCCTAGGACAAGACCTACAGATGTCAACAATGTAATGGCTATCAAATAAGACAAAGAGAATATTTCTGGATAGAGGTGTAAGGGCTGGTAGAAAATGGTAAGATTGTACCATCCTTATGACAGCTTATTCAAAATGGACCAACAACACAGAATGAAATGCAATGCATGATTTTACCTTTGTTGAGTAATGCCAAAAGCTGATTGTTGAGGAGCAGGCACACGCTTTGTGAGAGGAGCAGACAATCGCTTTATGTGTGGACCACTTTAAGTTAACAACTTTAGTCTAATCCTAATCCTCTTTAAGCAGCTTATTACACGGTGTTAATGGTGTCAAGGAAAGCTAAAAAACTAAGTAATATTAAAACCTTACAAACTCCCCCTTTTTTGGCTTTCCTTGACCAAAACTATTTTAACACAACCTATGAGTGACTAACCCAACCATTAAGGAAAAACACCATAATAACCTGCAAGACAAACACAATCTCGAAAAACATCAAGTGCAGATAGTTCATAGGATGAGTTAAACAAAATCTCCCCCATTTTTTGACAAGAGGTAGCCAAAAAGAGAAAACAGGCTAAAAGAGCATTGCATTAAACAAGGATAAGCACAATACAGGTTAGAGGGGTTTAAGTACAGGCCAACCAAAATTACAAAACATGTCCATACAAAAGAAGGTACTCCCCCATAACCAACCATAAATGAGGTCCCTAGGTTATAACACAAAATCTCCCCCATAACACAAAACATGCTTTAAAGATACATCATAATGATCAGAGAGATTATGTAAGCTCCACAGAGTCAGCAGAATCTTTGGAAGCAGAGTCCGAATCAGCTAAGTCTGCAAGGGGAGAGGCCACTGAAGGATCATTATGAAGCAAACCCTTCAAGTATTGAATTTTGCACTCATAATGCAGAATTTTCTTCTGTATGATAGAGGACGAGAAGGAGGAATCACCCTGAATTTGAACTAATTAGTGAGAGGATAGTTTGCCACTTAAAGAGATAAAGGATCTAGAGTAGGGAATAGGGGCATCATTCCAGATATCAGCACCAAGAACAGGAATAGAGTTGAGTTCACATAAGGATGTGATGAGAGAAGGAAATATCAGAGAGCCCTTGTGAGCCTTGCCATGACTCTGGGATTTGGAGCAGATGGCATGAAATATGATTTCACTAAGAGGAACATGATCCTTATTGATGAGGGACAACATTATTTGACAGCCAAACAAGGTGGGATTGGAATTGTTTGCAGTAGGCAGGATATTACGGCGAACAAAATCCCAAAGAAACTTATACATTTGCTTTAAGAAGGACTTAAGAGTTGGCAGTTAATGGTAGAAATGGATCGACATAGGCTATAGACCTAAACTAAGAGATGGTGTATTTAGAGGCAGCTAAGGCAAAAGCATCAAAACTAACATTAGGACAGGGCAAAAACTCTAGGAACCTATCAATGACAGTAGGGTAAACCGGCACCATTACGTGACGAACAGAGACATGATATTTAGTGTGTGCATGTATGTGAGAGAAATTTGAGTAAAACTCATGCACTACTGAAGCATTAAAACGACAAGAAATATAATTGAGTTTGTGCAACCCATAATGTGTGAATAGAGCATCAGCACATAACATGTCACTTAGGTAGAGATCATCCAGAATGTACCTGCGTTCTGGAACAAATTGCCTTTTGGACACTAAGGAGAAAAACTCAGAAGCCTTGGGAGAAGTGAACTTAGACAAGCCTTGAATGGTGATCGAAGGATTAGACGCCATTTGAGAGGAACATGCCTTTTTGGTAGAAGAGCAAAGCCTAGACAACACAAACATGGTGGGATGCTCAGATCTAGAGAATGGGACGAAACGATGCTTTGAAACAAAACCTAGATTCCCGGTCGTAAAAGACAAATTGGACAGATTGAAACTGAAACACCCGTTTTGATAGAGAAGACGTGAGGGGGAAGAGACATGTGGCGACACAGGTATCGAAAGCAACAATAACAAACAAACAACAACAACAACAAAACAAAAGGAAAAAAAAAATCAAAAGGGAAAAAAATGACAACAAACACAAGAAAAATATATTAAACACTTGTAGAGTAGGCAACTTCAAAATTAAAGCAATCCATTGTTCACAGAAAGAAAATTCGACTGAGTCTTTCTTCAAGAACAACTCAACTAACCATAATAATATGAAAACATGGATGGACCAAGGTAATTCAATCAATTGAGCAAAGTCCAATAGACTTTCTCAAGCCAAATTTTTTTTGAAAATCTAGGGCCTTTGTGAGTATGTCAGCAAACTATTTTTCAGAGGGAACAAAGTGCAAAATCTAAATGTTATCTTCTATAAGATTTCGAATGAAGTGATGCCTTATATCTATGTGCTTAGTTCTTGAGTGTTGGACAAGATTTTTTGAGATATCAATTGCACTCATGTTGTCACAATAAACAAGAAAGGTAGATAGACAAAAACCATAGTCAAACAACATTTGTTTCATCCAAAGGAGTTGAGTGCAGCAGCTCCTAGCTGCAAAATATTATGCCTTTGTAACAGATAGAGACATAGAGTTTTGTTTCTTTTTACAGCAAAGAGATGAGATTCTTTTGGATCACTTTGGAACCGAGCACAAACCCCCACACTAAAAGCAATATCAGGTATGCTAGCAGTCAGATAAAGAAGACTGCCAATCATACTTCTATTAAGAGTTTGATCTACAGACTTCCCACTTAAATCTTTATGCAATTTAGCACTAGTGCTCATTAGAGTTCGAACAGTTTTTGCCGACTCCAAACCAAATTTCTTGACTAAATTCTTGGCAGATTTGGACTAGGAAATTGAGATCCCATTTTGGCCTTGTTTGATTTGCAGCCCCAGAAAGTTATTAAGTTCACCAACTAGACTCATTTCAAATTCACTAGTTATGACATGGATGAACTCTTGGACATAAGACTCAAAGGTAGACCCAACTATGATATCATCCACGTAGGCTTGAGCAATCACCACATTTCTTTCAACTTGTTTAACAAATAATGTTTCATCCACAAATCCTCTAACATAGCCATTTTCTAGTAAGTGAGATGATAATCTCTCATACCGTAATGTTTCAAACCGTAAAGTTTTAAGCCTAAACACATCATTGGGATGATGAGGGTCCTCAAAACCCTTAGGTTGTTCAATATAAACCTCTTCATTTAGAATTCCATTAAAAAATGCAGTCTTAACATCCATTTGAAACAATTTGAAATTTAGATTACAAGCAATGGCAAGAAGCAATCGAACAGACTCCAACCTTGCCACTAGGGCAAAGGTTTCATCAAAATCAACACCCTCCATCCGGGTTAATCCCTAAGCAACTAGTCAAGCCTTATTCCTAACAACAGAACCTAGTTCATCAATTTTTTTTTTAAAGATCCACTTGATTCCAATGACATTTGTATTTGTAGGCCTAGGAACAAGATACTAGACATCATTTCGAACAAACTGATTGAGTTCTTCTAGAGTAGCAAGAAACCACTCCTCATGAATGTTTGGCTAAAAATGTTTGGCTAAAATCATACTGTTTAACTAGAACACAGCTTCAGCCCAAAAATGTTTGGCTAAAATCATACTATTTAACATGACTCTAACCATTCCTATGAGAACTCTATTTTTCCTCTCAACAACACCATTTTGTTGAGGAGTAATGGGGGCATAAAACTCATGCTTGATCCCCATTTCATCACAAAAATTTTCAAATTGAGAGTTTTCAAACTCGATTCCATGATCAGTTCTAATTTTGACAATGGGAAGGTGACTAGTAATTTTTTGTTTCTGAACAAGGTGACACATGTTTTTGAATTTTTTGAAAGGTCTCATATTTGTCATGCAAGAACAACACCCATGTGAACTTGGAAAAATCATCAACAATGACAAGAATGTATTTTTTTCCTCCTAAGGACATAGTTTTAACTAGTCCGACAAGATCTAAGTGAACAAGTTCTAAGATGTCTTTAGTATGAATGGTGTTAGACTTCTTATGAGGCACCCTAGTTTGTTTTCCCATTTGAAAACTTTCACAAACATGTTGTAAAGGTTTCTCAAGCTTTGGAATACCATTCACAAGCTCCATTTGGGCTTGGCCCTATACAGAAAATGCCTAAAGCTGAAGAATTGAGAGGAAATAAAGATTGCAAGCTTCATGATTCTTATTCCCATTCTACTAACGACTGTGTTCAATTCAGGGACATAGTCCAAGATATGATAGTCAAAGGGGATATCACCCTAGAGAAACCTGCACCAACTATGGTGGACTCCAATCCTTTTCCAAATATGCATGTCAACATGGTTGAGATAAACTGGCCTGATAGAGGCAAGAGAAAGCTCATTGTAGATATTGGAGAAGAAGGGAATAGAATAGTGACCTTAAAGCAACTAGAGAGATCAAAAGCCTCTATCGTGGCTGGGGTGGTTTCGTGCAGTAAGTGCAAAATGGAATGTGATTTTGAGATACCTTGATTGACAAGGAAATCATCAAGAGAGAAGCCAAAATATTGGTTGATATCATCAAGCCTTCTGCTAGCAGCTTTGGGCCTCACAGTACAAGAGAAAGTAGAATTTAGAAATTAAATCCAATAAAAAAAATATTAAATAGTATATCGCGACACATGGCGGGTGCTGAAGTGGGCACCATCCGTGCTTCCGACAGGTGGCATCCCACGATTGTGCCACCTATTGTTTTGATTACTTTTTCATATTTATATTTAAAAAATTCATCAAAAATAATTTAAAATAAAATAAAAAACGAAAATTGCTACAAACTCCTTACGACATTATCTTCGATTTTGGAGGTCTAAAATCATGATTCCATATATTTAAGTTCACGGTAATCATCGAATCAAAGAACATAAATGTTCGGTTATAGAACATCAACTAGTGTTTTAGATTGTTTAGAAACAAATTTTAGTTTTTGTTATCAATTTATATTTTTATAAGTGAAATTTTTTTTTATAGAGCTTGATTGTGTAGAGAATGTTACAAGGAGTTTGTAGGACTTTCTGGTGTATTTTTTGGATTTTTAATTTATTTATTATGAATTTTAGAAGTTAAATCAAAGAAAATTAATATTAAATTATAGTGAATAAAACGTGGCAGCAGCTGAAGGTGGGGCCGTCAGTGTTTTCAACAGGTGGCATCCTATGATTGTGCCACATGTCATTTAGATTACTTTTTTAAGTTTATCTTAAAAAATTAATAAAAAATCAAACAAATACACCGAAAATTGCTACAAACTGCTTACGACATTATCTTCAATTATGGTGGTCCAAAATCATGATTCTACATATTTGAGTTCACAATTATCGTTGGATCAAACAACATGAGTGCTAGGCTATAAAACATCAACTGGTGTTTTAGATGGTTTAGAAACATATATGTGGAATCATGATTTTAGACATCCATAGTCGAAGATAATGTTGTAAGGAGTTTTTAGCAATTTTTGGTGTAGTTGTCTGATTTTTAATTAATTTGTTATGAAATTTTTCAAAGAAAATTGAAAAAGGTAATCAAAATGGAATGTGGCGCAATTGTAGAATGCCACCTGTCAGAAACACTAACGCCACCACCTTCAGCTACTGCCACATGTCCACTTATATTATTTAATATTATTTTTCTTGGACTTAACTTCTAAAATTCATAATAAATAAATTAAAAATTCTTTTCTTCTTCTTCTCATCTTCTTCTCTCCCATTTGTCTCCAAGTAAATGTATGTATTTATTTGGCCAAAAAAATGTATTTAGAATAAAAAAATTCAGAAAATGATTGAATCAATGCACAAGTATAATTTCCTCCTCTCACCCAAAAAAAATTTATTTCACATAACTTTAATTCTTCAAAAATTGTCACAAATTTAGACGTAATCTGTAGAACAAAAATTCAATTAAACAATGTACATTAAATATATATATATATATATACATTCATTCATTACAATTCATAAAGTTAAAGAGAAAAATATTACACTACTCTGTATACGAGGTAGGATGAAGTGCAATTGAATTCTTGCAAGTTTGTCGATAATGGCCAGTTGAACCACATCTTGAACACCTACGAGTTGATGGTTCTTCTCCTCGTGATGGGATTCTCTTTTCCTTGCACCTGCCATGCCATCTTCATGTAATTGGTGGTAGCACAATTCTATCTCGTACATCATCAAACGCCACCCAATCTGTTTGATCCCCAACTGGCCATATAGGTTATGCATACGTAATTACCAATGAGTTTGTAGTGTAATATTTTGAACACTTTGGGTAACACGAAATTTGTCGATGCCTACATGCAGCACAAGCATGTGCACATGGTAGTTGGTCAAGATCAAATTCTCGGCATGTGCAACACTTCCCCTCTAAATTTACAATTTCAACACAACTTCCATCGTATACATGAAATGAGTATGCCTCAAAAGGAGAAACCTACAGATTCAAGAAAAGTGAAATGCATTATAAATACTCCCCAACCATTTTATTGGAAATCTTTTCAACAAATTTGTTCCTTAAAGAAAAGAATAAATGAAATTCAATAAAAATATATTTTTTAATTGCATGATATGCCCATTAATATTACTAACTTTTCTTTCTCATTTGGTAGCTTTGTTTGCAGCCAAGGATACCAAGGATAAGTTCCCAGTATGTTTTATTTCTTTAAAATTAAATACTTGCAACAATGAAAAAAAAAAAGGTAATGAATTTAAAATATGTGCAATGATAATCCTTTTTGGTTATTTTCTCGCACCAACTTGTCAGCCTATTCCGTCAAATGTGAATCCGTTTTGGCTGCCTCAATTCGACGCTTATGAAACCAATTTTGAAGTGTATTCATTCTTAAATACTCTGGTTATTTGTATTCATTAGGTTGTACTACTTCTAATTAAAGTACGCACGAGCCCACTTTTCATATCCAGCTGCATGAAGATAATTACCCACGTAAGGGTCAACATTAAATATTTGCACCACATGACAATCAAATTTGGGAACACGATATGTCTTAGCAGCTCTAAAATAACTTGCCTGATAACACTGTGAAATCCTCTAATGCAAGGTCTAAGAGACATAAAAAAAAACATAAAATGATTATTACTGTCAGTTTCAATATGCGTTATCGCACCAGGATTTTTGGCTTCTAGCATAGCACAATATGATGGGAGTCTCATGTAAGATTCCTTTGGTGATCCCCTAACCAACTCCAATGCATGTTCCCTAGCTCTCCAAGCCTTCACATAACTTATACTCACACCCATGTCCTGACGCATAATGTCATGGGGTCTATGTACTCGTGATACACCCTCGTACTTAGACTTTATGCACTGACAAATAAGATAACTACTTACCTATCGATGATCGCAATGATAACATCCAATGAACAAGTGTGTTTAGTAACATACTTTCTGACCATGAAATATGAGGATTTTCATACCTTTGATGCATGCAGTTTCCATATGCATCCATCATCCACGCAACCACCTTCAAATTTTTCTTTATTAGATCTCTTCACTTTGAACTCAAAATTTTTCTTCATAATGTCGATACTCAACTTTGTTTTTAAATCCTCATTAGTCTCATACACCTGACCTACAATTATATCTCCACTTGAATTGCGTAGCTCTGTCATGTCTGATCCATGTAGAATGTTTTTATCCTTGTTTGGAGCAATTGGATTGTTAGAGTTAGGCTCATCACATTGCACATTGATAGTTGGCACTTCGTCACTTCTCATGTTTTCATCGAAGGCAACATTATCTTGAAAAATATTATCAACCTCTACATGTGGCATATCCTCAAATTGCATGTTCTAAGAACGCAACTCATCTACATGTGTTGTATTATTTTCCACTTCATATTCTGAGTCCACAAATTCTTCGATTCCCAAGTCATATTATGAATCCTTATCTTGCTCATAATCTTCTAAATCACCTTGAGTACCCAAGTTGAGGTTCATTGGCATGGGTTCGAACTCAACCAGTGGAGTTTGTTGATTGCTTCCACTTCCGTAAGAAAATACTTTACATTTCACTGTAATGCACAATGGAATCTTGTAAGACTTTGATAGGCTTTCAAAAATAAAAGCTCTTACGTCATCATCATCGACTATCTCTGTGGGCCGTGCACTTTTCATTGTAGCATATATAACTTTCATAGTTAACTCATACTCATTTCGGTCCACATTGGTAATGTCATACAGTTTATTCCGGAGTTCCTCAAATGTAATTTTGTCTAAAACAAGTAGTCCTTTACTTTTGCAATTTTTATACGTTGAGTTAGCCCACCTCCCACCATAGTTAATCAAAATTGTCAAACTAGACATTTGCCTGAAAAGGTAAAACAACAACATTAATTAAAAAATAACCTTACAGACCAAAAATTGACGATGAAGCCAAAAACATTAACTATGGAACAAAGTAGAAATTAATACAGCTTTTAAACTATGGAACAATGGGCAAATCGGAGGCATTTGATTCCCCTCGAACTATTGAAAGGTTAAAGATGAATATGTTAGCAGTTACACAAAGACACAAAAATACACTTCAAAAAATTTTACATCAACATTTATTCACTGGCATGAATAAAATGGAAGTTCCGGCATACATATGTATATTTACATGTGGGTATGTTTTTGTATTTGTAGTTTGAACGAAGTCAGAGAGAAAAAAATAGGAGGAAAAGAAGGCATTACTTAAACGAGCTTTCATGATACCACCAGAGGCCAAAGTATTGCCCAACATGGAAACTCCAAATCCACATTTGACCACAAATACGATTCCTCTTTTCCAGATGACAACTTCTTTTTTTTTCTTAAATTGTAACCTCCACTATGACTACTGTTAATACTAAGGAAATGACAGTTTCTAAGCACTCTAAACTTTGGACGACGCAAGAATAAAAGATACAAAAACAGGACACCATTTTTAGTTTTATAAATACTCGATAAAACAAACTTTTACAAGTTTGATAATTTTATAAATATAGTATGAAGAATAAATGAAGAAATGAATAAGAAACTGAACGAATAACCAAGGAAGAACTGCACTCACCGTTTGACTATGGCAGCAATACGTCTGTGAACGAACTCTCTACAAACGGACGTACAAAGATTTCTAATCTAATAGGGTTTTCTTTTTTAGGTTTATGTGGGTTTTAAAATTTGAGGATATTTGTGTCTATTTAGGTGAGTTTTTGGCTAAATTTGAAATTTTTTACAAAAATTGATATTTTTGAAATTAGGAGTCAAGTTTTGGCTATTTTTAATAAATTCTCGTTTAGGGATAGGTGTGGAAAAGCGCACTCAGTTAACATGCAAATGGATGTGGGTGAAAAGCTGCTAGTATAAGACTCTATAAGTAAAATATAGATCAAACATATATGAGAAACATGTGATGGCCTAATGAAAAAAATAAACTAAAAATCATTTTCCTAAGAAAACATTAAAGAAGCAACTCAATTATTCAACATTTTTCTTTGTCTTC